CCCCCCAGGGGATCGAGCCCGCAACCCAGGCATGTGCCCTGACCAGGATTTGAATCTCGATCTCCTGGATCATAGGTCAATGTTTAATATAAAGAAAAAAAAGCCTTTCTATGACTTCACCCTGTCACCCTGGCTGACAGGACCCAGTATAATCAGGCTCTCAGCCTGCCTCACCTCAGCTCCTCTACTTCCAACCCAAAGTCCAGCCTCACAAGGTTATTTTCAACTTTCCCAATGTGGCAAGTTCTCTGATGTTCTCCTTGAACATCTTTCCCTCCCTTCTTCCATCTGCCAAGTTCCTGCTGAACCTTTGTCTTGGCTCCAATACCAACTCTTCCAGAAGCCTTACTTGACTCTCCCCCAGCTAAGTCAGTTGCCTCCTCTCTGCTATCACCTCCCCTTATGCTACTCCCACAGCATTCTAATCCCCCACTTTGAAAATGCCCTCTTACTGGCCTGTCTCCCCCTATGAGGGCTTTGTGAATCTTTGGACCCTGCTCAGCTTGTAGAGCCCACCCATCACATGACAATCACATGATAAATGTTTGCTGAGCATCATACCAATGGATGGATGAGCAAACCAGAGACACAGGTAGAAAAGGGGCAGATGGAGAGAGCGACTTTGGGTATTGCAGTGGATGAGAAAATGGGTTCTAAGGCCTGGCCCTGGCTAGCTGTAGACACTTGGCAAGTGGCTTAATGTAATTATCTGTAAAATAAGTCAGTGATGTATAGGCTCCCCAAGAAGTTATGTTGAGGGTAGAAAACAGGGTTGGGGGTGGGAGTTGGGACCTGCAACTCACTAATAGATGGACAGGGGACATTCTTGGAGGACAAGAAAAACCCAAAACACTCATTAAGACCAGCCCAGCTGCTGGCCTGGGTGTGGGCCTTCAGGTTGGAGGGTCCCCTGCCCACCCACCTGCCTACCTACGACACTCACCGAGACAGTGGAGCTGGGTGTGTTGGTGCCATAGCCAGACGAAGGGAGTGAAGCCAGAGACCAACGCCGTCCGTCCGCCCTGGAATCCAGCCAAGGTGCTCAGAGGCCACCAGGTCCCACCAGTCCCCTCCACTTCTCAGGTTGTGAGAGAAGCCGCTGGCCATGGCCAGGGCAGGGGGTTGGGGAGAATATCTGTGCTCTGAGATTCCTGAAGGCCCTCCAAGTCAAGGAGGTAAAGAGGAAGTCTTCCAGTCAGGCACCATTCTCCTCTGCTCCTTCCCATAATCCTCTCCTGCCATACTTAGGCCACACTAGCCCCTAGCATGGACCCCAAGGAGGACCAGAAAAGCCCACTCAAAGAAGTCATCCCAGAGGGCCTCAAAAGTCAACCCCAGAGGACTCCCCATGAGAAAGCTCTCAGAAGAAGACCCGTTGAGTCTTCTCTCACACACACACACACACACACACACACACACACACACACACACACTCTGACACAGGCTCTCACATCAGTACACTCACTTTCACACAGATACAGCCACTCTCCTTGCCACACCCACTAGAGTTAGTGTGACTAGTGTGGTCAAGTTTATGGACTGACAGTCACACACATTCATTCACACATGACCCCTACATGGACCCAAATATCACACTTTCCCACTCTAACACAACTGCACTTGCAAAAACAGACATCCAATCACATATTGACACAGACACTTGCAAAGACCCAGTACTTGCACTCTAATACACACACAGCCACACACTCCCTCACACATACTCTATCCACACTTTCACATTCACACATATATTCCAGACACCCTCATACACTCAGTCACACATTCAAACTCTCATACAGCCACACACTCATTCACACTCCCACACAGATTACATACTCACATGGAGATACACAGGGAGGTGCATACTCCCTCACATATTCACACACATTTACAACCCTACAGGTACACACACACATTCATACTCACACACTTTTTACACTCACATGCCGATGCCTATCCCCCATGGGTACATGTGTAGGCACAGGCTGCTTCACACATTCACAATCTCACAAACTTACACTCCCACACACTGGCACACAGATTGCACAGTCACATGGACACACTCCCACACACTGGACTCCTCCCTCATTCTTCCCTCCAGGTACTGCCTTTGCTCTGCCAGCCTGCCTCCCGGGCCCCCCCTCCATGCAGATGACCACATCAGGCCCAATCTTGGAGCCATTTTCTGGTTCCCTATTGCTTTCAGCTGAATTCCACAGAAAAGAGGGTCCTTCCTCCACTCTCCCCAGGGAGCTGTCTTCTGTCCTCACAGTCCTCTGTGACTCCCACACCACAGCCTTCACCAGCCTTTGCAGTGATCCTGGTTCTCTGGCCTGCCACCCCAACTCAACTCTGAGGACAGAGAGGGTGTCATTCGCCCCTATGCTCACCTCCCAGAACACAGCATGTGTTTGGACAACACTTTTAGAATGAGTAAAGGAAATGGAGACCCATCCAAACACCCTGGTGACTCCCAGAAGTTTCTCTCCAAAACATTCAAGGAATCTCTCTGCCTCCGCCAATTTCGCCAAAGGCCCCAGAAAATTAGTCCAGAGACACTCCAGAAACGCGCAGACACCTCCTCCCTAGAGGGAAACCTGAGATTCCTCCTCTGGGGCTCTCAAGGCATAGCACTAGGCGCCCTCCCCCACAATGGGAATCAAGAGTTTCTCAAAGGGCACCGCGTAGTCTGCGCCTGCTCATTTTATCTCCGGTCTCCCGTCCTGTTGCTATGGAAACGCCTGGCCAGGAGCGCCAGGCCCGAGACAGACTCGGCGCTTTTGCTGTCAGCTAAGGCAGCCGCGCTGGTTCCCGGGATTCAGCACCGGTCGTCGGCCCCGCCCTCTCACAGGCCCCGCGCCCAAGGCTGGGCGCTGGTTCCCGCTGGGACACCGCGGCACTCTGCGGATCCCTCAGGTCCTGACTCAGGTCCAATTAGGAAGGGAACAGATGGCAGCCCAGACGGTGGGTGGGGAGAGTCCGACCAGGGTTCTGGGGCCCTGCGGACAAGGACTCACCTTCGGGAAGAAGCAAACGAGAAGTGGGCGGGGGTGTTGGGGGAGAAGTTGCGGGGACTATCCAGGGGACTGCTACCTGTGGGGGGAAAACGGGTTCTTTAGGCCTGGGCTGGGTGGCAATCCCATCTGACTTCCTGATCCCCAAAGCAGGTTGCAAGCAGCAGCCGTTCCCTCTTTAGTCTAGCCCCAAAGGGTGAGCGGGCCACGCCCCTTTCTCTGTGGCCCCGCCTTTCGAAGATGCTTTGGTTTCCGAGTTAGCCCAGCTCGTTCGGGCCTATTCAGCTATCCTCTGGCATAGCCCCACAGGCACGGATCCTTCATTCTGCCCCATCCCCTTACCAATCTAGCTCCGCCCACCAGTTACCACCCCTCTGAGGACTGACAACGCCCACGCAGCGATGGCCACGCCCCTTGTCCAATCTAGGCTCTCCTCTGTCCAGACTCTGGCCACCCCTCCTGTGGCCACGCCTCCCCCAGTCTGGTCCACACCCACCACCTGTCTCACCCAAATGTCCAGGCAGTGGGGAGTGGGGTCGCGGCAGCGTGGGCGAAGTGCTGGTCAAGATGAGGCTTTTCCGGTTACTGGTGCGGCAGCTGCAGGGAATGGGAGGCAAAGAGGCCGGGCCGGGTCGTAGCCCAGGGAGTTTGTGAGCCCAACCAGCCGCCCTCCTATTCTGGGAAGTGTCCCCAGAAAACTACTCTGAGGTGGAGGCAGTAGAGGAGGATACTGGACTGTGAATGGGAGGGGATGCAGATGTGGCATGCATGCGAAAGAATTCCAGTGTGAACCATGTGTGACCATGTGGGGCATAGTTTCAGTCACAGAGTGATAGTCATGTTGTCTATGTGACACTATGGAGATACTGAGTGTCTGTGTGCCTAGGTCTGTGCGACACTTGCTGTGAGTATTCACACGTGGCACCCAGTGTGTGAGTTCGGCACTGGGCACATCCTAGTGTCACATCGTATATGGCAGTCCTTGTGTTTACTTTGTGTGGCGACACAACATGTACCTTTGTGTGTCTACATGACACAATGTGTAATGCCACTGGTGCTTGACTAGACGTGCCACTGTGTGCTGTAACATATGAGTAATGTATGATTTCTGCTCCATGTGTGTCTGTCTTTATGCAGCAAAGTCTGTATGAGATACTGTCCTTTTGTCTACATGTGACATTCACCATGAGTGTCCATGCATGGCATTTACTGTGTGTAAGTTTAACACCGCGTGACACTGGGCATGTCTGAGCATGCCACCATGTGTGACAGTCCCTGTATGAGTCCTGCATGTGATAATGTGTGATATTGTGTGTGTCTCTGCAAGAGTCCTGTGTTTGTTTATTCTGGCACCCGTGTCACATAGCATGCAACATGCTTAGGTGATGCCATGTGTTGTAACACTGGATGCATGGATGTCATTGCCACACGTGTCTGTGTGCATCTCCGGTAGCAAAATCGTGTGTGTGTCACCATACAGGTAATATCTTATTGGGTGTACAAAATAATGTACCCATGGGCTTACTTGATAGCGTGTGATGCTGGGGATGCCCCTGTGTCTCTGTGCAGATCTCTGACCTATGGCCACTGTGTGGCTGGGTATGTGTGGCGCCTCCATGGTGTATCTGGGCTACTAGAGCTGTTGTGTGTATATGTGTGTGTGACATCATGTCCTATATGACGCTGTGTGTCACTGTTTTCCCTATGAGGCTGTGTTGCGGGGGAGTTTGGACTATGATAAAAGTATCCCCCTTCTTTCTGCTCTTCAGGATCCAAGCTTTGGAGGAGGGAGCCCCCAGCCCCTCGATTCTCCTCAACACCCCTCCTC